ACATTTTAGTGAAAAAAACTAAATTATTTGCATCTTAATGTAGAATCTAATTTTATTATTCTCTCAAACGATACAAGAGAATATGACTGCATTTCTTTCCCTCCAATTCTGAGAATGTCCCAGGTGAAGCAAGGACCCTCATCTTTTGCCTTGGCTCCCTCAGCTGTCCTCCCATTTTTAGTGTTGCAAGAGATCTGATAGTAACATACTGATTGTTGTTTGGCCTCCTTTTCCCTGACTGGTTTAGGGTAAATGGTAGTGCCAGAAAATGATCCTATCTCTGATTCCGTCACATTCTGTAAAGTGTCCAGGTTTGGGCCTTGGGAAGATTTGCCTCCAAGTTTCTTCTACTCTACTGTTAACTGGTGGTGTGCCCTCAGGGTTATTTGCTCTCTGGGCCCAGGCCCTCTGATTTCTTGTCTGACCTATCACAGTAAAATATCTACATGTAGTTTGGGTGAAAATAAACATTTTAGAAAAAGAATTATATGAAAACATCTGCACAAAATTGCATACTCAATAAGTGACTGTAATGGGGATGTTATAATTATCTTTAGCTAGATAATTAGTAGAATAATGTCATAGCCTAGATTTTCTTGTTCACTGCAGTATGACTGAAGGATAGTGAGGGTCCACTTGTATGCATATTAACCCAGTACTTCTGTAGCTGTATTTATCAGTAATGCAACTAATGATGTATATGTGACTTTTGGAATGCTCCTTTCCTTTTCCAGGCTTCTATTTCCTATCTGAAAAATAAGGGAATTGAATGGAAATAGGACAGAAAATAGGTTTAATCTCTTATGTCAACTCTAGTTGATCACTGTGAGTACCTGGGAAAGAGATTTCAAAGGATTCTGAGGCCTTGCAATGTCTATACTGGCTAAGGTAGCTGGTGGCAGCTGTTCTAAAATTTTCCAGGCCTAGATTAAATGCTCTTCAAGGCCTTTCCTGACTCCTCAGTCCTTTGATTCTTTTTCTGGACCTGTGCGTCTGGGAGACATCCTGTGTATCAGATGAACATTGAGTGAAAAAGTAGGTATAAATGTCTACTCAAGAATCTAATAGAAGAGGGAAAGGAAGGGGTACTGAGGTTGTGAAGAGGACTGAAAAACATTACATTATATAATGTGCATGTGTGTATGAATATGGCATAATGAAACTCACAAGATACTTTTTAAAACGAAAGGTAGAATGAGGGGATGATTCAGAATATGATAGCGGAGATGAATTTGTTCAAAGAGCACTTGTGTGCATGTATGGAAACATCACAGTGAAACCCCTAGACTGCAAATGTATGTTAACCTAAAAATAATATTTTTAACAAAAAGAATCTATAAAGTGGATTCTGGATTACAAAACCGAGTCTCTGAGTGGAACAAAGGTTCCCTTCAGGCTTTGTTGCAATGTTTGCATTAAAAAGCAAAATATTTTCATCAACATCATTTAGGAGATGAACTGATGGGTCTTTACCATAAGTAATTTCCTTTACAAAAAGTTACAGGTCTCTAACAGCTGTATAATTATATGAATGTGTTGTGTAATTGAATGAATGTTAGTATTTTGGAAATTGATTTAGCTATTTATTTTGATATTTAGTGTCTATGAGAAAGGCCCCTTTTCAGGAGTACTTGGTTGCTTTGAGGAATGGATTTGATTTTCATGAATCTTCATAAATCTTTTCATGAATCATGAAGAAATCCATGTGTGAATCGCCTGTTAGTCTTTCCATCTTGTAAGGGAAATTATGATACTCAGGTAGAATTTTAAGGACAAGAATAATGGTTAAGGATATTTGCTCTACTTGTAAAGGCTTTTTATAAGGGTTTGATACTGTTGTCTTTTTTCCTCCAAATTCTCTAGAGCAGCGTATATTCTTCCTGATCCTTCTTTAAATCCTTCATAGTTAGAGTCTGTTTATAAATTTGTGATCCCTGACAATGCAAATATTCCCTTCTGTGGTCATGCCTGGTATACTAAAATTGATGAGAAAAAATGATACTTTATATAATTTTCTCTGAAATAACATTAAACATTTTTGTCCTTGGTGGATAGTCAGCATAGCTCTGTAATGGAAAGCCATTTTTTATAAGGGAATCTATGACTATGACAGCAGAAATAAACAGCTGAGAATAATATATGAGGAATTTTCAAATTACCTCTGTGTACTGTGGTGGTTAAGATAATTTTGTGGTTCTTACAGAATATCCTGCAAATTGGGTCTTTAAATCTGCAGTATTTTGTTGTTGTTGTTGTTTTGTTTTTACAGTTAATACATTCATTTCTTATATTAACAAATGATAACTCTACATTTGTTAAAGAGTTCAATTTTTATTTTTCTGTGCTGAGATATTGTTGGCATTTCACTGCCAACTTCTGTTTGCCTATAACAATGCAAATGATAGAAATCTGAATATACACAGGCATCATTTTAATCGCTGCCCCTCAAGACTGGCCATAAATCTGACTATCTGCTTGCCGGAGTTATCATATCCACTTGGAAATCTGATAGAATGTGAGTGTTGACAATAGGGGATTCTAGCCACATTCATGGGTTTCTGTGATACCAGAAGCTTGCTCATAGCATCTCTGTAGGGTTAGGGTGGCAGAACACCAAATCATTGTAGCTATAGGAAGCATGTGCTGTTGGCTTTGGTTATTCTCAGCTTATATGAGAGAGTTCACACATCTTGCATGTGGGTGTCAGGGTACATGCAGAATGCTAATGAGAACACCTTGCACCATATCTGATACACAATGTAAGCTTGGAAAACATTCGGTGAAATTGAGAGGAGAAAAAGATCTTCAGAACTTCCCTTTCCAACTATATAGTACTATTGTCTCATTTTTTTTAATACTGGAAAGTAGTTGCTACATATTTAGAGCAGGAGCTTAGCTGTGCATGCCTTAAAATGGTTCAAATGCCAGAGCAGAAAGAAGGTGCCGTGGCCTGGGATGGAATCCATGTAGCCACCAGGGTTTCCTGGAGTCTCTTTTTTATCTACTCTTTTTAAAGGTATACTATTAATGCATATTAATTGTACATATTAATGGGTTTCATTGTGACATTTCCACATGAGCATAGAGTATGCCCTTTGATCTTTTCTTTAATGTGTCCAGGTTTATTTTAACATGCAGGGAAAAAAATCTTTGCTGTCCGTGTTTTAGATTTTTCTACCAGAAAAATTATCTAGCAAAATTGCTGCCCTAAAAGTTGGCCCATCTTTAGCATAGAGTTGTTAGGGAACACCTAAGTTAAAACACACCTTGGGCAGGTATAGATCATCTGTGAGAGGATTAGATATGCACTGGTGTGAATCTTGTGTGGTAGGATGGGTAGGTTTTCCCCCATCCGTTTCCCTATAGCTTCTTTATACTATTGAACATGGCTGGGCTACTCTGTCTGTCCTATATCCATGCAAAACTTTCATCTACATTCCAGTCAGGGAGAGGACTACTAAGTTAGGATCCAAACCAATTTTTTACACAGCCTTAAGGGGTAAATGTAGAACCAGTACCCTGAATCACAAATGTGCTTTATCCTTTGAACCAATTCCAATTGATTTGTTCTGGTTGCCTACAGTGCTGTCTTAAGAAACCATATGTGGTGCACTGGGGCTCTGTTGGGAGGAATGCTGGGATTGATTAGCAATGTCTGTTATGGCCTCTGAAGGGTAGCTTGCCCAGTATTTGCCATCTTCTGCTTTTAACATGTCCTTAGCTCCTCTGTGCTGTCTTCCTGTGTAAAATAAATTTAATTCCAAAAGGTGGCTATAAGAATAAGCTGAGAGAGAACAGGTATATTCCACTTTAAGTAAACCTAGCATGAGAAAATGCAAATTTGCAAAATGTACAAATCTGGAGCCAATTATTTCCATTACAGAAAGACTCCATGAAAGGTTCCTTTAAATAGCGAGCTCCCCTACTGCATTAAAATGATGATTCAATTTACAAAAATTCACTCTGCATGCAACTCTTCAGAACCATGTCTGTGTACTAAGCAAACCACACCTGATTTTTTTTTTAAAGCCACACCTCAGTAATGTTCAGGATAGCTGCCACCATGTATCTCTTGTCTCTTGGTAATTCCCATTCTCTTCAGAATTCCTTTTTTACTTCCTCTCCTAGAGTGTTGAGTAGACAATCTGGGTGGTGATCAACAGCTGCTGGCTCCCACCCTGACATGACTGCATTTCATTAGTGGGTAACTGATTGCTCCAAGTGTGTTTATATGTGGGTGTGGTTGTAGAAGTCCATGCACTCTGCACACTATGAACGCAGATGCAGAAACACAAAAGTCATTACGTACCTTGCTTGCAGCCTAACATACATTCATTCCTGCCCTGATCATTATAAATAGAAGGTTCCATTCACTTAGTGGATATGATCTTTTGGTAATATCTGCCCTCAGTTTCAGTTCCCCATCCTCTTTGTGTTTGCTTGTATGTTCTTTACCTTTGTATCAAAAAACTCCCCCCAAACTCAGGCCTGATTTCCATTATCCAAACATGGAACCCTCCTCTTCCTCTGTATCCTAGAAAGCCCCCAATGGTTTTCTGATTTAGAAAATTAAATATAATCTGATTCTTGTGGCAAGCTATGAAATTCCCAACTAACAGATGCTTCCATTAAATATGTAACATACCCAACATCTAACGATGTAGCATGAACTTGAATTATAGAGATTTTCAGTACCAGTCTCTTCCCAGACACTCAAACTCAGGCAATTTTCCAGAGTGTCCTAAAGGTTGTAGGAATGTCTGTTGGCATGCACGCTAGAATTCTTATTGCATTGCAAAAGTAACTTTATCCAGGGAAGGGTACCTGGATGACACTCTGTGCATGGCCACCCCATGGAGAATCATTGTCATAACTTCTCAGGCACAGAGTACAAGTATTATTTATATTTCACCTATAGTATTTTTAACACTTCAACAAAAATTTCTTCCCAGAATTATTTTTTCACAGACACATATTAATTTTTCTTCCTTCTTTTGGAAAGCAGCAGAATGAAATCACAATGGCAAACATATGGGTCCCACTCCTACACTGATCTCTTTGAGATGAAAGCTCTCAGGCTGTTGAGCTTTCAAGCATCTCCTTTCCTCCTGTCTTCCCAGACTCACTGGTTTGGGCCAAAGATCCATCATGATATTGGGCTGTAATAGCTGCATAGGTGCAGCCATAGATGGCTGCTGCCAACATCATGAGACACACGATTCCACATACAACTCCCGTAATGACAACCGTAGCCATGGCATGACGCAGGTTGGCTGGCCTGGGCTTGGGTTTGGCTTCACACTCCAAGGGAATGTGATGCCCTGAGTTGTGGTTCTCAGGAGGCTTTGTGTCTTCTCCTCCATAGGCAGAGTTAGGCTGCTGATTCTGTGAGTACCCCAGATCTAGAGAAGGAGGAGCACAGGGCTGGTACAGCTCATGAGGGATTATAAGAAGATTCTTTCCTTTCCAGGTGTCAGGTGACCCACAGATGACACCATCTGTTATTCCTCCTTCAAAAGACAAACACAAAAGATGGCATCAGACCTTTGATACAACTGAGTTCCAAAATTCTCAGCCTACAAAACCTTAGGCAGATAGAATTTATAAAGTACCTTTTTCTTCCTCAGGAGTCACAGAATTTAACTACCATGTTTTGTGATTTTAAGATTTCTAAATTGGCTAAATGGTAAAAATGCCACACATTAAATTGGAAATTGTTTATGACCAAGAATTTAATAGAACTCATTTACATGGCATAAAAGTAAGGATAAAATAATGCAAAAGCTAACAAGAAAGAGGGTTGGGGCTTATATTGAGGGTACAGTAGCCCCCTATGAACCCTAGCACACAAGAACTCTTTTATTTCAATTCTCATTGGAGATATAAGAAAGTACAAAACAACCGTCCATTGTTGCCATTTTATGCATTCATTACAAAAACCCTATGTGTAAGACCAATACTTCACTGATACTAAATGGAGAGGTCTTTTGAGTGTTTTGTGTACATATCTGAGGATTTGATAATGCTATTTGTTTAGTTGATTAGATTAAGTATAACTAACACGTTTTCTCAGGTTTCCTCAGGTCTCAAAACATTTTCTACTTTGACTCAAATGCAGTTTCCTTTCCTTATAAAGTGATTTATTTCCTCATGTGCATAGACTTCAGTTGTCCTTGGGAATTTAGGTACTCAGTACCCTTTCTAGAAAGAGACTCACATTCTTCACTCACACCATTTGATTTCAGGAAAATAAATATCTCTTACTAAATTTTCTACCATAAAAAGTCAGATTTGTATCTGACTTTACAGTTCTCTAAAGATTGTTAGCTAAATCCTCACACTCTACTGAAACAGCTATTTTATTTTTACAAATTTATATAGCTCATGAGTGAACAAACCCATACCCAATCGAAGCCTTACCCCACTCAATCCCAGCATTTCCCATTACACTTGCTGTCTCTCTACCTCTTTTTCTCCAGAAAGTCCAAGGACAGGAGAGTGGCAAGAAAGCCTTAATAAAGCTCTTGAACTGGGCAGTCCCCTGTACCCCCATGACCTGTGGCTCAGACCTGTGGCTGCCATGAACATCTTCCTTCGAACATTCAGGAAGAAACCCCCCACCCCCACCCAACAAAGTCATATTGGATATACACAGGAAGTAAATTGTGAGATTATACCAGAAAGACACATGCAAAGGTGATCGATCACTTTGGTGGTGGTACCTGCCTTTATAAAGAACTTCAGAGTTTAGGGGATGCTCTCACACCTCCATTCTGTCTTAATCTGCAGTGCAAGTGCTATAACATGACCTAGACACTCCCAGGTTGGTGGGAGTGGCAAAATTCAACCTGTGCCTTTTTGGAATTCTACTGTTCCAAGTTTCACCACCAGAATCTCTTGAGAACCATTTGGCTTCTTTTGCAATCCTTTGAGGCAAGAGAGTCCCAACTTTAGAGCAAAAAATTTAAAAAGCTTAAAAGAATTTCCTAAGCCATGGTTTTCCATGAAGCCAAAAGGTACAAGTTGGCTGTTCCAAGATGAGCCCAAGGTACCATCCAGCTGTGCTGAAATTAAAAACTCTGGCTTTCCAAGCCCTTACATTCCTCTGTATCTGGGAAGGTTTTTGCAAGGGAGAAGGCTAGAGAGACCCAAACAAAGCTGTGAGTACTATGAACATTTAATTAACCAAACCAAGGAGACTCCCACCAGAGGACAAAGGCTGCCTACCAGGGGTGAGGCAGTTCCAATAGCTGCCTTCTACCTGAAGTAGGATGATCTGCTAAATCACTTCAGGTACAGCATTGCCATTCTCCAGCCCCACATTTTTGCTTTTCAGCATTCACCTGAGATCCACAACCTTAGGGCCCACAATTTCTTTACAAAGGAAATTCACAGATTGGCTGTTGAGACATGGCAGGAATGCAGGAGCTGTAGCTGCCAAGAGCTCCAGAGACTCCTGTGTATCTGAGTCCTCACCAAAGATGCACATCTTATTCTCCACCACTGTCACAGGATCCTGACTCCAAGTCTGAGTAGAATGCGAGAGATCTACTCCCTTCTTGATTTATACAGCGGACAATGTGGGAAACTCTAGCTTGCCAAGGGCTTACTGTTCCTCATTGGACCACTAGTACCTTTTAAACCTGCAGAAAAGAAACCAGATTCGAATTTGATTGTGCGTATTATTTTGTGAAATCCTGGAAAAAGATCCTTTAAAACATGATTCCTGCAAAGTGGGGAAAGGAGTAATAATAAAATTCACTCCCAAAAATTGCCTTGGGGACTCAAGTGGGTGAAGTGTGTCAAATATTTAGAACAATTCCAAGCCTACACTAAATGTTTAATATTTAATCATAAACATGAAGATGATGTGTCTACATTTGAATAAAGAGGAAGAGTCATTAGAGTGCCTTTTTTGTAGAGGAGACATTACTGTGTAAAAACTAAAGCACATCTTTGTGCCCTAGACCTACGAGAAGACTAGAATTTCCCATTCCTTGAGGGAACTGGGGCCATAGGGTTGAGTTTTGGTCAGTGGAAGCAAAACTTTCACTTTCAGGGACCTAAATCTCTAGCATGATCTTCTGTGTACTGTGTTCTCTTTTGGTGGTGCTCTATTGCCCACTTGGAAAACTCAGTGGTATTACAAGCTAGAAGGAACTTCTATCTAGATGACTTCATAGAATGCAGACCTTCCCTCCAAAGCTCTTAGACTCTGACTTTTGCTACATGTATGACTGAGATCCAGTATCATCTGGTGTATTAAATCAGCCTGACCTAATACCTTTAATGTTCACATGGGTTTATAAAGTTATTGACTAACATCTGCTCCTTTATTTTATGTAATACATGCATAATCAGACAGACTGTCTCCAGGGTTAGCATCTATTTGGGGATTTTTTTTTTCAAGTCATTGTGTGACATCCAGATCCTGTTACCCCCAAATTGATTTCATTTTCCCCTTTATAAAAAGCTATTATCTGTGCTCTGGTAGCTCTGCCACAAGGAAATGGTGACCTGCATTATCCAATCTGAAGATCAGGATTGGTCTTAGTACTGTCAGTCTCCATCTGGTGACACTGAGTACTAGTGAAAGGCATTAATTTGCCCAAAGACCACCAGCAAGTTTGTGGCTGAGCAAGAGAACAGTATCCCATCCCACATTGCTTCTCATGTCCTGGGCCTGGGAATGATTTTTTTTAACATCAAGAAATGTTCTTTGATGAAAAGTCTTTTTCTGTGATGGTCTGGTTTATGACTAAAATTTAATCCAGAACACAATATCTGAAGCTGCTTCACCTCCAGATGCAAGTGGTTTTATTCACAACCTCCTATCAGAAAGACATTGTCACATTGTGGGGCTGCTGTTGTTGGTTAACGTCCACATCGTTGGCTAGTTAGTGAGATATTATTTGCTATTAGGTTGTTGTGAAGCTCCTTAACTTATGTTAACTCACCTGCTTCCCTGAGACTTAATGCAACTAGTCAGAATCTGTTGTTTCTCTGTTCAGATCTGCAGCTGTCATGTCTTCCAGAGCTCAAATATACAACCACCAATTCATCTCCCCAAGGAGAGTTAATAGTAACACCAATGTGCTCACAATGAACATGTGAATGCATCCCCCCACATGCTGTGTCTGATAAAGGTGTCACCATCTATCCCATATCCTTGCAAGACTAAAGAAAATGGAATTCCTCATTCCAGACCATTAGCCATTTCTATCAGTATAATATTCCAAATATTTTCCAGAGTTGATCACTTTTCACTACCCCAGTGTGAGCCATCATCAACTCATCCTTGGCTGACTAAAATGACCTTCTCCATCAACTCTAGCTCTTATCCTACAATTTTGATTTGCTTTTCTTAACAATCATCCCCACTGACCTCTTATTGTAATCAGCCCATATTGTTCCTTGGACAAAAAATTCCTCAGCAGTTTTTCATTCCATTTGGAGTAAAACCCAAACACTTGAACCTGGCTCTACACCTGCCATGTGGCTTGATCCCTGACTAGTTGGGTTGTCTGATCTCTGCACCACTCCCTCATTGTAGTCTTCTGATGCAATGTTTCTTGTTCTTTACCAAGCCAAGCTACTGTATTCATTAGGGCCTTAGACCTTGCTGTCATTTTTCTCGGTTATCCCCTGGATAAATGATTCTGCTTACCAATGTCACCTCCTACGAGAGATCTTTCCTGTTCATCCTTTCTAAAACAGAGCCGCTTATTTCATCACACTCTCTACACTTCTCTACATTTTTATTGTCTTCTTAGTTCTGCCATCAGAATGCACATATCTTTATGTATTACCTTATTTAAAAGTTATTTCTGGAACTCCAAGGCAACCTTCATTACAAGAAGGATTTTCTTGTTGATCATTCTTTTCTCAGTACCAGGAATAATACCTGGCATATCAAAGGCACTCAAAGAGATGAATAAATGAATGATGCTCAGAGAAGCACAATGTCATCACTGAAGAATATTGGGCCAAGGTCGAAAAGCCATATACTTTCTATTCTCTTCTGTGTTTCTATTGTGTGATCTTGGGCAAGTCATAAGTATATCTTGGCCTCCATTTCACAATGAAATCTGGGTTTTCACTAACGGGACAGATAGTAAATATGATAAACTTCAGGTCTCTATCACAACTATTCAAACTTTATAGTGTAAAGCAGCCACTTAGTTTTTAATGAAAGCCATGGCTGTGATCTAGTAAAACTTTGCTTCTAAAAATACTTTTTCAAAAACCTGTGGCTGGATTTGGCCTTGTGCTACAGTTTGCTAGACCATGGGTAATACCCAGAGTCCTGCATTTTTAATATTCTGGATACTCTTGTTTTTCTTTTGGCATCTTGTTAAAGAAATAGTAACTACTATCCCCAATTTTAATAACATTAGCATTTGTCACACAAAAGAGAATATCTCCAGGAAAGTTTATAGTTGTGAAATGAATAAAGGCAGACAAAGTAGGAAATGATACCCATGTCCCTGACTGAAATTTAGACTTTGGAGTTTACTTAGTGGGCAACTGAAGTTCCTTCTTCTTGAGGACATCATTCCTGGATAACTGACTTCATGTTCTGTTCCTTTAGGAAGTTATATCTCCATGCATCAGATTCATAGATATAGACAGGCTACCCACAATCATATGCCTGTATTGATAATTTTAATGGATTGTGTGTTATAAATATACAAATGGAAAAGAATGGATCCCCAACATCTGCATGGCACATTTGCCTTTTGGGCTGCACCATAAAATGACATCGATGTGAGAAAGCTTAAAACTTCCCCTTTCCTTCTGCTTGTTTTTCTTGATGCAGAGAATAAAAGAGGCTCATGCTAAGCTGGTGATACCACATGGGGTTTCTAAGGAGACAATACTGACCTTCATAGATAAATTTCTCCAGCCAGAGTTTCAGACCCAGCAAGTGGCAATTGCATTTCCAGATGTTGTCCTTGAGAAGTAACTGCTTCACTCTGGGCATGAATTCCAGGAGCTCACGATCCAAGTGCTGAAGCTGGTTTTGTTGCACTGCAAGCATGGTTAGGTTCTCCCAAGGCTTGCCCAGGGATGCAGGAAGATAACTTATGTTGTTGGATGACAAATCTAACTCCCTTAATTGGGGGAGTGCATGGAAGAGTCTGTTTTCCAGAGAAAGCAAGGAGTTCTGAGTTAAGTTTAGAACTTGCAAGTCCTGAAGACCTTTGAAAGCTTCAGGGGCCAGATTTGAAAGGGAATTGTTGGATAAATTTAGGATTATGAGTCGTGGCACTGACCTAAATGCAAGAGCTGAAAGCTGATGGATCTGGTTATTCTGTAAGTGCAGGATTAGTGTCTGAGGAGGCAGATTAGGAGGAATTTCAGCTAGACCCTGGCTGCTACAGTCCACAGAGTTTGAGGATGGGTGACAGATGCACTTCTCTGGGCAGTCACATACTCCTTGGAGCAGGAAAATCGTGCTGGAAAATAGCAGCAGCAGCAAACCTAGGACAGAATGGGATAAGGAGCCTGGTGTATGAGGAATCATCAGTATCTTATACCTTCCTGTCTCCCCCCATACACCCCTTGAATTCATAGGCAGGGCAATTCTGAGCAGGTAACACCTTCTACCACCTGCATTATTCACCTTTTTTTAAAAAAATAAGTTTTTATTGTGAAAATACTGTACAGAGGGGTTACAGTTACATGAGCAAGGTAATGAGTACATTTCTTATCAGGCATTGTTGCCTCATTATTCACCTTTTTAAGCAGAAGCAAGATGGACTGAGCACATTTGTTCCAGTTACAAAATTCTGTGCTGGCTATTGTCAGCAGCCTTGGAAAAGATACTCTGGTGCTTCAGCAATCAGATGGTGGAAAGCTTAACAATATCAGCTAAAAAGGCAAAAAAGATCTTTCGGGAACTCTTTGTAGGGTACAACTGAATTCTGTGGATTCTAACATGTAGGAGAGTGGCAGAAGATTTTTAGATATTTACATCTTTTGGTCAGGTATGCTCCAGAGAGTTCTATTAAGCATGGCTCATTACTTTCTGTAATGGTAGGAATATTCTTCTATCTGCTGTCTAATGTGGGAGTTACTAGCCATGACTAGCTACCAAGTCCCTGAAATATGACAACTACAAACAGGGGACTGAGACTTAATTTCAATTTAAATGGCCACATGCAGCTACTGGTTACTGTATTGGCTGGGGCAGGTGTTATAAACTGGTGTTATTATAGCGCCTATCCTAGCTGTATAATTGGTGTCCATGCTTTGATTATGCTCCTTTCAACTCAGGTACAGAAAAATATTAAGAATAAGATAATAACAAAGCTTAAATATAGATTTTTAATATTCTGCTAAAACATGGTTGATCGAATTGCTTCTTTTACTTATACTAACTCACACTTTGCCTGAATAGCAGCCTGTTTTCTGTTAATTTGGAATTTTTAGGCACGATTGATAGTAATTATATTTTATGCCATTATAAATGTTGTCTTCAATCAAAGGGTCTAAATATGTTAATGTTCTGCCTCTGTGCATAGGTATGAGGAGATAAGAATTATGCTGCTTATGAAATTGTTCTGTACAAACTAGTTTCATTTTCTTAAAAACTCCTGGTAAGAGGAAAGTTTTTGGTATTTTTACTTCTTTTCTGAAAGCAACTCCAATAAATACTATATCTAAAATATTTTTTAAAAGATAGTACGCTTCCACATTCCTAGAACAGTGTTCCAGCCATCCACTTGTTATCACACTCCCTTCAATGTGTTTGTGATTTAACTCAACTCTCTGATTAGTGCCTGTCACTTTTTTTCTTGACATGGGTCTCCTTTCCTCTCCACTCCTGATGTATCTCTCCATACATGCTAAGAGCAATAGTTATAGATACATCAATAAATAGTACTTACGTAGTATGTGTTCTCTTATATATGCGTATACATTTACATACATATATATATATACATACACACATTCTCAAAACTGTATAAATGTGACTATTTTTATCATTTTAGAGGTATTGAAAGTAAGACACAGAGAATCTAAATTACTGGCCTGTGTCACATAGATAGTAGAGCCAAGATTTGAATCCAGTCTGCTTCCAGAGCCATAAGTATATTTTTGTTTACATCCTAGTATAGACCAAGTAAGATTTTCTTTCTGTCTCTCTCTCCCTCTTTTTCCCTCTCTTTCTCTCCTTCTATTTCTCTGTCTATATATATATATATATATACATATATATATACACACATGCACACACATATACATACAGATTTGCATAGAGATTTTTGAAAAATCTTAAGCATAATCATCATGTCTCATTCTCAGTCTGTCTTATTAACTCAAAACTCATTTGTCTACAAGGCCACAAGAAAATTCATTTTCCCTTTTAACTACTAGACTATTGCATGGTGGGACCATGTCAAGCTGATATTTATCTTACATTTGAGCTACTTTATTTTTTTCCTCACTACACATGCAAGAGATAAGAGTATCTTGGTTCAAGCTCCTTAGCCCTGTGGGAGAGAGTTCTTGCAATCAAAAGAGGTCTCCTTGTTAAGTCTCAGAGGGGATTGAGGTATCCTAGATACTGTTAGATTACCCCTACAAAGTTGTTGTTCATGCCTTTCTTTTTTCTTGAGTTTGAATATCAAAACATGTCAAACATCTGTCAAGGACATTTTGTTAGATTGGAACAATAATTCACAAGGCCATGTAGTAATATTCAAAACACAGAATAATTTACTCATGATGAAGTTTTGGGGAAGTTGTTTATTTGGGGCCTTCAATAGGGAGAGTAGGAATGCATCTGTAGAATGCCCTGGATCTCACTCTGCCCTTGTTCCTGGATTTCTTCTAGTTCATGGGTGTCATGGGCCTATGGGACAGACATGTGTCAAGCCTTTCCAGTGAGTTGCTACTCAATTTAATTTAGCTCAAAGACAGCACAGTCCCCTCCCTCTTTCTGAAATAAGAGTACAGTCCTCATTTTTCCCCTTTCTATTAGTTTCACAAATATCTAAATGACTCCTTTCAAAGCCAAAACATCTTCCCTTTAGAAATGACCTGGCACCCCCTTCACTCTAGCTGTGGTACTCACACATCAATTAGTTGCAGTAAACCAATTTCTAAACTGGACAATGTGTCATCCGCAGAATCTTCTCTGTACTATTAATGACAAGCTTATCTGAGATTCGAGCTAGTGCTCTCTTTGATTTCTCCCCTGACCCTAAAGGAGTAGTATATGAACTCCAGCTCCAAATACCATGTTGTCTATGAAGGCCTGTGACATGCCAAGCACATATTCACATCAGGGCTACATACATTTCTCTCCAGCTCCTTCCACAGCACCCAACATGGCAAACAAAAATCTTCCCATCCAGAGATATTTTTTTTTATATATGTCTGAGCTTTTCAGAAAGACAGCTTGAAAACAGATTTCCCAGGAACACCTTTGAGGGGATTCCCTCCCTCTCTTTTGTGAGCAACTTCAATAAGGGGAGAGAGAATTCATCCCTGCTCACCTTTCATGGCTGATTTTCCACAAGCAAGCATCTTGGTTGAACACGAAGCCCACCCTTATTAAATCCGCAGATCAACAAACCGAGGACATGGCAAACTTTTCATTTTCTTTCTGTGAATCTTGCTTGTCCTTTTCTTTGATGCGGAAAACAGTTGTCGATTTCAGTAGACCACAGCCTGTCCCCTAGTCTCCATCTGGCTTGGGTCAGTTTCCATAAGATCTTTTGATTGTGTCCTGCTTCTTTCTTAGAGTGTCAGCCTCCCTGAGATCATTTCTGCCTTTCCTATTCAGACAGCAAACCACATAAAGAATGTTTGTCAGACCTTGGAGAACAGCTGTAGCATTCAAACATGACCCCGATGGCTCGGCCTTTTTGATTATTTAATCTGCTTGAAGTCCAGGGCACCAAAATAAAACGGCCTTCTTAATCCGGTCGTGCCTTCTGCATTCTGTTGACTTATTAACCGTGCTGTGTCAACCCTCACTGGGTGGGGGACGTGCAACACAGCTCCTCAGTCTGGGGGTCTAGCAACAGAGCCAACAGAGTGTGTAATATGAGGACAAATTGGCCTGCTGGAGGCTGACACGGTTTCCACAGTGCACGTCTTTGGTCATCCAGGGCTTATTCAGCCAACATCCGTGGGGATTAGCTGTGTTGACAGGGTCTTGATGCCTTGAAATCCATAGCCATGGTTTCTTTTAGTGAACATCACAACCCCCTTCTCCCTGGTGCCACAGATACTTCTCAGCTGCTTGCTTGCTCATCCCTCCCCCCTGCCGCCAGCTCCCTAGTCAAATTGACCTTTAGGTTCGTATGACTTGGAAATACTTCTCAATCTGGCTTTATTTTCTCAATGTGCAGGTTCAGACTCCTTGCCTCATTTTTCACTATAAAACAATAAACTCCCCCCTCCACACACACCCTCTCCACTGTGAGCATTGGGCACCAATGAACTGTGACTATCCTCTAAGAACTTTCCCACCAGAGACTGGAACCATTTCTTTGAATATGCAAATCCTCTGTCCTTTACTGAGATGAACTTTGAGTACCTAAAGTGGCCCTTCTGCAGCAGTTCAACATGTGCCAGACATGGCAGGTCCAGGAAGTATGACTGGGCGACTAGTCAAGTGTGGGTTTTAGATTCAATTTGCTTACACAGAGCCTCATCTCTCATATGCGGATAATGGTAGTCTATCTTTTATAAGATGGTGCCCAGGATTAAATAACGCAATACTTGCCGTGGTCCCTATTGTCTTCATGAATGTTCACAATTCCCCAGGAGAATGCTTCCAAGATGAATGAGCGTCTGGTCCTGGAAAGGCAACCATGACTGGACAGCAGGAGAGGCCCATGCCGTGTTCCTCATGCTACTCTGTTCTTTACGGGAGATCCTTTTCTCCTTTGGCCAACACCCTTCCATCTCACACAAGCCTGCCTCCTGTAAGTCTTCTTGGCCTGCTATCTTTTGTCTTACTCATTGACATCTTTGGAGCATCACAGATAAACAAGGGAAAGTTAGGTGCAGGTAGCAAAGAAGGTCAGGTGACCAAGAACCATTTAAATTGTACTAACAGCTAAAAGTCCCTTTTTGTCTTTCTATCTAGCTGTTTCAGGTACACATAATTTAATAATAGCAATCATTCTTGATATATGTCTATTATTCATTATCCAGTCATTACTACCTTGTGACATTGCAAAATCTATGAATTTAGTCCCTCTAAGAACTAGAAAGTTACACATCTACCTCTATGACTCTCTAATTCTGTCTTTCCCAATGATCAGTAAATGTTTTTGGGGAAGGGTCAGATAGTATTTCAGACACTGAGAGCCATATGGCCTCTTGTTTCAACTATTCAGCTGTGCTGATATGTAAAAACAGCCAGAGATATTGTGCATGAATGTGTATACCTGTACTATAACTTTATTTACAAGAACATGTAGAGGACTAGATCTGCCCACAGGCTACAGTTTGCAGTCCCTGCGAATCCTACCATCTAGGAAGCTGTTGCTGCTCTACTATGCTGCCTCCAACTCCCACCTCTCTCTCAGACAGATAGATCCATTCTGGTGAGAAAGCATGAGGCAAACTAAAAGGTACCATGCTTACCTATTTAGGCAGACAGGGACTCCGAGGGTTTCTTTGGGTTATAGTAAAATTAGTTTAGCTGTATTTTGCAGGACCCATCTAGGGTCTGTCTGTTTAACTCAAGAGATCTGAAAAATAAAATCCATTTATTGACAGCACAATTGAGTATGGAAGGCCAGGATACCTGCAGGGAACAGTAGGGGATCAAAGATACCTTCAGATACAGCCAGAGGATGTGGATAATAATAAGGTACTCTTTTAGCTGCCTGTACCTTAATGCTGGGTGGTCATAGGCAAATCACTGGGTCTCTGAGTCTAGCTTCCAATCAGTAGACTTCAAGGAGGACAAAGTGCTGTTTGTTCAGTGTGTCTGGTCTGGTAGAGCAACTGACCGGAAGTGATATTTCATATTAGCAGTGTGTATTCTTAGGCCTCAAAGAGTCTGAACTAGCTTCTCCCACCTAAAACATGAACTCCCCAGGAACACAAAGAGAACCCTTACAGTAGATGGTTCCTGGGAGCAGCTGCTTACTGCCCCAAGGGGCTCCTTTTAGTTCTGTTTGTTCCTGCTGACTCTAAAAGAGGCAATTAAAAGATGGGCAGAGCACACATGGACTGGGAGGCCCTGGGACACATTGAAGGACTTTGGATGCAGAGTCTGATTGATTCATTCCATCTGACCCCAGCCAAGAGAACAAAGAGAGGATGCGTGACCTGCATGCTAATGCTGGCTGTGCCTTCCTCTTCTCCTGTCAGATGAGCCAGGTCCAAGAGGTGCCAAGACGACTGTGCATGCCAAAAGCAACCCAAAGAGAGGATGCTGAATGTCTGCTCAGGGAAGTCCTCTCCCTACCAAGATTCACACAGCGAGGCACCAAGACAAGAGTACCCCAAGACTCCCAGAGGAAGTAATTTCAGGTTCACCTCAGAGAAATATTCTGCTTCTTGTCACACAATGTTTGAAATACTTCCTACCTTACAAGACATTTCTTTGCCCGTTTAAAGTAGCGTATATTGATATAGTGACCATTTTACTTTCCACTAAAAAATAAATCAACAGCCATTATTAACTCTTAAAATTGATAATGTTTTGAATCCCAACCGATAACAGCTCTGTCTTCTGGGAAGTTTTATTTCAAAAGAATAAAGTAGTATTGAATGTACTCATCTGAGAGGAGATTTATACTAAATTATTAGGCAAAACAAAACAATTATAATATATATGTATATATATATATATATATATATATATATATATTTGTGCTGCCTCCAAAAAAGTTAAAGGTGGAGAAATTAACTCTACCAATGTGTGTTGGTTTGAGGAGGGCAGTCATTGAACTCATAGAGCTGATTATTAACTTTTCCACTTGTACCTCTGCATATATTTAACTTGCTACAACCAACACATTTTATATTTGTAATTTAAAACATATGAAGGGTAAGAACTGACTTTTGTTAAGTGCAGATAGAATCACCTATCACCCACTGGATTATTGAAATAGTTTCTCCTCCAGTGGCTGAGTTTTGTGTATAATATCGATATAGCATGCCTAGAGTTCACCTCCACTCACTCTAAGAGGATTACTGCCAGGACTAGCATCTGTTTTTCTGGGCCACAGAGTCTCTGCATGCCATAAGACCTATAACAAACATGGGCTTTCCTTCCAGATTTAAGATCTGCCTCAGTAAAATCATGACAGAACACTTCCCTATTCCTGTCCGTGGGTGCCCATCCAGAGCTTGCGCCATTGTGTTCTGAAATTGGGGCAAGACAGCAGGCCCTGTGACAGCTGCAACCCTTGAGAATGGGAGGCGGCCCTGGGCATCACGGATCTATACAGCCATTTTATTTGGCTGTGGAGGAAGTTCAGTATTTGGAGCCATGTGGGAAAATGGTGAAAATATTTCCCTGGGTTTCTGGTTAGCTAAACGTACCTAGTTATAAAGTGTGCACCGACTTCGGTATTATTTTTTCCCTTTCTTCTTCCTTCCTTTTTTTTCCTCCTTCCTTCCTCTTCTCTCCCTTTTTCCTCTCTATCTCCCTCTTCATCTTTCTCTTTGTTAGGTCCACCTGGGAAAATGGTCCCTTCTCTCTGGGTAAAGCTGCATGTAGACCCCTCTCCCTGCTTTGCTTTCTATGCTGGACCAGGTGTCCATCCCTACAAGTCTCTGCCCAGCACCTGCATAACCCAGGTGACTGAGATTCTCCAGTTTTCGAAGTCACTTCCCCTTCCTCTGAGATCATATCCTGGACCTCTGGGGTCAGGTGTCCTGAGGACCATAAGAGGTTTCCAGGCTCTGAGGTCTGGTCCGCAGCTGCCGTGGCCCCTCCTCCTCCCCGCCCTCTACCTACATAAACCCCAATCTCTCCATGTGTTGTCTCCCCACAGCTGCACCTCCTGTGGGCCTGCCTTTCCTTCCTGAATGCAGTCTTCTTTTGGCCTAACCTTACACTCTCCTCTGTTTCCAGCTTCTCTTCATCCTCATCCCACCTCCTCCCCTTACTCTATGAAACAGCCAGAGAATTCAAAATACAGTTTAAAATTTCAATCACTTATTTAGGACATACAATATCCCAGATCTCGCTACAAATTTGTTTTGCTTCAAGTTTTGCTAGCTATTGTTAATAAACCCACAAATCTCAATGGCTTAACACAACAACAGCTAATTTATAGCTCTGGCAAATTCAATTTCAGGTTGGCAGGGAAATGGGCTCCAAGAAGTCATTCAGAGACTCAGGCTTCTTCTATCCAGTGCCCCGATTCCTCTTGGTTCTCAGAGTCCTCTATTATCAGTTGGCTGAGGATGTGACTAGCAGCAAAAGAGACTGGGAATTGTAATTTAACTATATTCCATGGAAGAAGAGGACACATCAGTATCAAAGATCAATAGCAGTCTCTGTTCTGCATTTTATTTGCATTATTTCACTTGAAGGGGATAAGTTTCTAACCTTCCAGTGCCGTCTTTCTTCTGCCCATTGTTTCTACAATATGCACACAGTAGGTTCATTATTTAAGTGTTGAATGAATGAGAGTATTATTCTTACTTTTGCTATAGATCACAAAAATGAGGCACAGAGAAGTTAAATCACTTCTCTCAGGTCTTCAGCATGGTTAAAGCACAGTCTGTGAATACCTATGTTCAGTACAATAGCAGAGAACCCATAGTTTTATTTACATGCCTGACGGTCATTTTCTGTAGTGCTGGGGAGTGAACTAAGTGTTCTGTGCTTGCTAGGCAAATGATTTACTGCTTGAGCCACACCTTTGATCCTTTTGCTTTTAGCTTGTTTTTCAGATAAGGTCTTGAACTTTTGCCCAGCCTTGTACAGTGATCCCCTCCCTCTGCTGATTATTACAGGTGTGCACTACCACATTCAGACCTTAAGGTCTTTATACTTATATATTTATACATACATGTATGTGTATATACACACATACGTACACAACACTTCTTTTGCCAATAAGCTGCATTTAATTATCTGCAAATTCTTACTTAGGAAATGAGGAGCCAGTCTCCTTTTGAGCCATTCATTGTAGACTCAAGGGTGCCATATGGTTTCTCTAATGAGAAGGTAGGACGAATATATGCAGTCCCTTTCCTTTTTCTTGCTCTTTTAATAAAGTGAAAATATGGGCAAAAAATGTAATTTAAAGTCCTTTTAGCAGGCTTTAAGTCATCTGATAAAATAATGAATTAGGGTGCCCAAACTAAAATCAGGGGAGTTATGGGTAAGAAATACATGCCACTGTCTTCCATGGTTTCCCTTATTTGCAATATCTAGTATATGTATGAGTCAAGTGGAAAAGGTCAGATAATGTGATGTTAGGAAAATGAACCCTTAGATATATATTTGTTTTTTTTCTTTCATGCATTTGTTTCTAATGCATTTATAAGATTATCTCTTTGTTGCTTTGTATGTCCCTCCCCCACAGTATAACCCCTGCTTTCACTATATTTGATGTCAGTATAACTTGTGGAGGAGATGGGGAAAAACAAGTCGTTAAAGGACACAAGTGGACCTGTTGCAACAATGAGAAGTACAAGTTGTCATGTCGAAAACGAGCTTTACAATGTTGGGGTGGGGGGAGGATTGGATGGGGGGGGAAGGGTGAGGCTGGGAAGGGATGTGAAGGGCAAAAAAGGAGGAGGTTGCAATGCTTGAAAAAAAAAAAAAAAAAAAGCTAAGGAGGGCAGTGGTCAAGATATGTTCAATTGCTTTTTTTAAAAAATAGGTTTTTTATTGTGAAAATACTGTACAGAGGGGTTACAATTACATGAACAAGGTAATGAGTACATTTCTTATCAAGCATTGTTGCCTCCTCCTTTGTTTTTCCCCTACCATCCCTTCTCTCCCATCTCCACAACTACACCCCCCTCCCCACCGCCTAAATTGTTAAGTTCGTTTTTCGACATAATGTCTTGTATGTCTCATTGTTGCAATGGGTCCACCTGTATCCCTATTTAAACAATTTGTTTTTTTCTCTTCTCCTCCCCAAATTATACCAACATCATACAGTGAAAACAGGTGTTATACCATGGGGAAGGGACATACAAAGCAATAAAAAAAATCATCTTATAAATATGTTAGAAACAATAATAAGAAAGAAAAACCATTTGAGTCCTTATCTTGGGGTTCATTTTGCCTAACATCAACTTACCTGACCATTTCTGCTTGTCTCAGACATATACTAGTTATTGCAAATAAGGGAAACCATGGGACCTATGCTTCTTTGGGCCTGGCTAATGGATTTTTAGGGTGCTAAGTGCACTAATTTATTAGATTGATTGATGCTGATCTTCCTATCCCCTTGAACCTGTTTCTCATGGAAAGTCTACATGCCATATTTGAATGAGATGGACTTCTCTAACCCTATCCAATTCTTAAGGGAACCAGTTCTCAGGAAGTCCTGCTAAGGAACTTCCAAAAGCAGCAGAGGCCAAACCAGACTAATGTTTTGTTGGTGGGGGAGGGGTGAGAAAACAAGACTTTTCCTCCACTGTCTCCAACCACAGCCTCCCAGCACTTTTCTCCTGTACACAAGATGTCTGTGGAAGTAAAGATGCAGTTCAGATAAGTATGATTAAAGGTAATTAGTGAGCTCATGTGGCTGGTGCAGTAAGCATAGGCAGATGCTGTGGGCATAAAGTTAATGAAAGAAACAAAAGGTTTAAGAAACATGGCAGCTTAGAAAGCCTGGCCAGGGCCTCAAATTGACACATTGTTTTACTTAGATCTTCTGATTGGCTACTTTTGTCCCTGCCCCAAGCATATAAATTGGAATCAAATTTGTGTTCATATTTGATTGTTTACTCATGTTACACATGCGTGCTTTATGTTTTTCTTGGTGAATTTTTATTGGCCTTTGTACTTTTATTACAATATGATAGTCCCATTTCTGTAATAGATTATAATATATGTTTCACATTTGTAAGTTATAGCTTAGTGTATGTACATTGTGATATAATAATAAAACTGTGACTTCTTTCTTTTTAAAATTTACCATCTCTTACCTTTTAGATAGTTGAAAATGTTCTAGAAAAAAACAGTTGTCCCAAAGAGGACTCTACCTTGCAACCTAACAATTATACATCTTGAGCTTCTGCTTTTTCAGTTTAAGCTCTATTACAACTACATTTCAGAACAGTATCTCTGTTAAATCCATGGAACCCTGAATGAAATCATCTAGACTCTAAGGCTTACAACATTTGCTGCCTGTGTGACAGTGAATGAGTTATCTAACCTCTCTGGTCTTTAATCTCATCATCTGGACCCAATTTACAGGTTAAATTATTATTTAAAGAATCCGAATACCTTTGCCTTAGCTAGAGTCTTCTCTATTGTGTCAATATGGCATATTAAGTAAACATTTACTTGCATGAATGTTCTTGGAATAAGAGCAAAGGAAATTTTGCCTGTAGACAGACCTCACTGTGTGAAGTGTGATTGCCTAGAAGCAGTTGCACTCTCCCTAGTTTGTGCTCTACAAAGTTCTGCCTGTCATCAAAGAAGCTCTACAAACAAAGAAGAACTGACTGTTGGTGTCAGGCAAATACTACTGTGCTTTGAGACCTTTGTAGGCAAATAAAAGCCCTGCTTCTATCCAGGTTGAGGAAGGTCAGCTTCCCATTCTCATGCATTCACCAGCAAAGTTCTTGTCCTTCCTTTAATTCTAGAATTCCACACTGGGCCACCTACTGTAAGCCCCTGCTGTTATTTGTTAAGGTTTCTCTGCTGATCTTGATCTCTCCCAGTCTGGTCCTTGGTTGGTAGGAGGCCCTCTTCCCCATCCCCCATATAATTAAAGAGAACATGCAGTGATCTCCCCAGGGCTGTTTAGCTTTCATCATGAAGCATGACTATCAGAGCTTGGAGGTTGATAGGAGTGGAAACATTTGTGTTCAACAAGCAAGCAGGCTCCTTCATGTGTTGTCAACATTTCATTTGTGATTCTAATGAGGTCTCCAAGGAGAAAATAAACTCATGGATGCCCTCCCCACTACAGCTGATGTTTATAAATTTCTGTCCGTGGCCTCTAGTTGCTCCTACCAGCAAGGCCTTGGAATAGAGTTTGTGTCCTGTTGTGTTGTGTGTGTGTGTGTGTGTGTGTGTGTGTGTGTTGAAGAGCTGAGATATTATTAAGTCAACTAAGACATTCCTGAGCATGAGCAATGTGGATATTTTCTAGAAGCTGATCTCTCTACTTACCTGTGCTTTAAATGTGTCTAGAAGGTGCAAGCGTCCTCATATGGAAATCAGATGGAATCTCATTGTGGCTTTCCATATTGTATATTATTTCTTTGTTGAAGGAGCATTTCCTGAGTGTTTCTGACATGCTATATTAACAGTCCAGATTATCTCTACAATATAGAAATAATACATTCATTGTAGAACCATAAATATATGAAAAATCACAGCCATAAAATGTACCAAGAAGAGAGATCCATGGTACTGGAAGAATACATAATCAGGAAACCTGAGATAAGAACTTAGAGTAGGTATCCCTTAGATGTAATACTCAAGCTGAACTCTGAAGAAAGAGCTAGATTTGACTGCAGGGAGGGGGAAGGGCAATGTCATGCTATGCATTTGATAGGCTTCCAAAAAAAACTGGAAGTGGACTTGTGGCACAGGTGGTAGAGTGCTAGCCTTGACATAAAAAGCTCAAGGACAGTGCCCAGGCCTTGAGTTAAAATCCCAAGACTGGTAGAGAAAAGAAAGAAAGGAAAGAAAATATTTGAAAAAAGAGAAAGAGGGAGCAAGTTTTGTCTCTCAAGACTTCACAAGAATGTTGCCAGTACTTTGAGAGGTACACATGACTTTGATCCCACACAACTAGAGGGATGCTGTTGTCTGGCTCATTTGTGGAGGAGGGAGAGAAGATTTGCCTTACAGAGCCTCAGTACATATTTATCAGACCTGAGTTTTCCATAGTGTCTGTGTACTTTGACATCTGAACAGAGTAACTGTCCTCCTTGGTACACTAGTGCTTGTGTTTAGTGTGGGTCAAAGAACAGCCAGCCCTGATTGCAGGGACTTTGCCAGTGGAGCAAAACGTTCCCTTCCATGAAGCCTGCATATGCAAGTGTGGATGTGATGCGCCGCAGAAGCAACCACTGAAGTGTGTTGAGGCTTCGCTCAGCATTCCTATGGGGCCAAACAGCGCCTCAGAATTCTTTCCATTCTAGCACTTAAGACAGACAGCATTAGATATCCCAATGTATCATGCTAACATGGTCTTAGTGCTCATTCCTGAACTCTACCCTTACAACTTGCAAACTTGGCTAACCTAAATACCCTTACAATCTGTAATCCAGAGGCAAGAATCATGTAGTGGGGCTTAGGAAGCAGCTAGCTGAACTTGCTCTTCCTTCCACTTCCACATCCAGTGTATGCCCAGTGCCTTCACCTTTTATCCTCATGACTATGGTGATTTTTATAGTGATAAAAATAGTTCAAGTAGCTATTTTTAAATGATTTTCAAATGAGAAACAAAGTTTTAGGGCCTGTGGAAAAAAAAGAAGTTAAATTGTGGTCCATGCATTCATACAGGAAATCTAGGACTTGCACTAGAAACATGATTCCAGAAAAGTCTGGGTATAGCCTCTCCGGCAGTCTATGTTTTTGAATTTGGACATATAAATAATTGTTATTGCCAGGGATTTTCTACAGTGGCAGGTCAGCCATGGGCTTCCTGTGTGTCATGTCAGGCCAGAAATGATTTGGCTGAAGCAGAGGAGGACAATCCCAGAAAGTAGCAGGGAACTGACACCAACAGGAACATGAGAGCCAGCTTCCCACTTGAGATGGTGGAAAACAGATTATCCTTTCTTTCCTTCTTTCTCTGTCTAGAAACTTACTTTGCTCTCACTGACCACCATTAGTCCCTGAATCACCAGGGTTGATAGTATCTCAGGCTCATAGAACACTCAGAAGGTTCAGACACAGGAGTTCTACCTGGAAGTCATCAGCTTACTCCTCTGCAATGCTTGGAAGTAGCTATTACCATCTATGTTCTACAAAAACAAAAACAGAAGCAGACAGTGAGATTGGCTGCCTTGCCCATGATCAGAGACTTGTGTGTGGTAGAGTCTGGAATTTGAACCCACATCTGCCTGACTTCAAAGCCTTTGAAGTACTATATTCTTTTATCTCAGCTTACTCTTCCCAGTCCCTTTTGCATCTGGGGGAAAACAAAAGAAGACTCTCACAGAGGAAGCCGAATTGGTGGAAATCACCCACCTAAAGATAACCCCCTTCCTCCATGAGACCTTCACAATGCTTGTGGGGGTGATCACCACCACCACAGGGAGAAGGGGAGAAGTACTGTCCACATCCTGTAGCCACAAGCTGGGAGAGCATCCTAGAATAGGTGAGGAAAGCAAGGCAACTTGGTGCACAGAATGAACATTGATCTGATCCATCCTCCATCATGGTGCCATCAGCCAGATAGATATCCAGCATACTTGCCACGGCCATCTCTGTAGGTTACCCTCTCTTCATCGGTGGGAAAAGAGGAGAGAATCCCTTTGATTTGTAGAGGCATGGTAAGAGAAGCAAGGCATCCACTGGCCCTACCACCCCAGATGATTGATTGCACAACTTCAAGAATCAAGTCCCTTGCCATGTTTGCTTTAGAGCATCCAGACTCTTCTGCAAGATGGTGAAGTGGCTAAACCTTTCACATGAAGAAATTCTAGGTGCACAGAGAAGAGTGCTGGGCTCTAGTCCAGTAGATAACCTTCAGAAAGAGCAACAGGTGATGGGGGTGACAGGGCTGACCCCACAGTCATTGCATAGAACAAGGATATCTAGAGTTAGGAAGGTACAAACCAGGTAGGTTCCCAGGATCCATCCACCACCCTGCATCCCAGGAAAGCGGTTGCCTGGAAACAGGTTAGCTAAGATTTGGAACATGCACATATTAAAAAAAAGATATAAGCCAGGTAGCCCTGGGAGACTGGAACTGTTTTCTATTTACCTTCTTTCAGAAAAGGTTTTGACTCAAGTAACTCTGAATAGGGAGCATATATATCTTTTAAAAATATGTTCCACTTCCCTGTAGTATAGTATACTTTGATGTATTAAAATACAGCTCACTCCACTCAAATTACTGCCTCAGTGCCTAATGCTGTAAAAATTAAACCATTCCTCAATGATATTTTATTAAGCTCCACCAGTATTTCAAATACAGACATCTCACAGAACCTCAGGCCATATGTTTTATAGGCTGTCAGGGTGAACTCTGACATCAGTCTGCAAACCACCTCCCCCCACATCTTTACATACACACACACACACACACACACACACACACACACACACACACACACATAATCTATGTATATATTACAGCATTCAAAATCTTACTTCAGGCTGCTCCCAAACTGTCCATTACTGGAAATAATGTCTTTGGTTGTAATGCCTAAAAACCTTAAACAAACAAAATATTCTTTTATGTTTCCCTGGACATCACCGTTGATTTTTTTCCTTAATATTATTGATTTTTTTATGTTTTAAGAGAAGGATTATTATTGATGGGTTTTTTTTTGATAGAAGAGGTTTTCTTTCAGTTGAATTTTTCTGAAGCCATATGGGCATACGTTCATGTAGTATGAGTTCACCTCTAGCAGAAGCCAAAAGGTATCTGTGTGTTTGCATTTTAGAAATAAATGGATACAGCCATAAATGCCGATCCTCTTAACAAGACTAACTTTGTCATTTAATAAGGCAGATTATTCTACAGATTTAAAACCAGTTAACACGTTTAAAACTTGATAAGACAAGGCGGTCCTCGTATGTTTCCTGTTCTTCACTGATTAAAGCAAATCGAACACTGGACTCGGGGAGGTTTTCCATGGTACGAGTAATGCTGTGAATGTTTCTCCTGGTAATGCAATTAGGAAATATTGGCCCCAGTTAATGTAACTTAAACAAAACATGTTGTCCTCGTCAAACTTGTTCAAGTTGTTAAACAGGCAAAGCCTTGTCCAAAAAGTTAAAAAACAGGGGCATATAGTGTTTCCATGGAAACTCTGTTAAAATACTGATTTGTGGATATGATCATAATCAGCCCCATAATCTAATATGACTGAATTAAATGAAAAAGAATCTCAGTTATGAAGTAAGCCCCCTGTGTAAGAGTATTCTTACACATGCAGAAAACATATGGATCCTGGCAGACAGTATTTTCAAACTACTTATTGGCGTAGGCATGGAGCTTTGAGACTACAGTTTTGTCTGTCTTTGCTCCCCCCATCATTCATTGTTCTTCATTTTTATAATGCTGGAATTATGTGGGTGAGCAGAAAATAAAATATTGATGACATTTAGGTTTTTCAATATCTAGCATTGCTCCCCACATAACACCCCATGTTTCCACTGTGTTCTGTGACAAGAAAAGATAACCTATAATATTTAATGGTTTGTAGTACTTGGATTGTTTTACTAAGGTAATCATTTCTTCCTGCTAATGGGAAGGATAGAATTCTAACCATGAGTTTTCACATGAATGCTTTTGATCTTTAGAGGAAAAGGACAAAAAGTTAAAAGCCAGGATGATTGTCTCTCAGACCTGGGGCAGAAACTTCCAAAATGGATGTCTGTGGCCTCCCTCATCCCTACCACACAGTTCTGTAATTTACCTTGCATATATTGGGTTGTAATAAAGGTTGGAACTGCTTACCATAGGAGAAACTTCAACATGGTGAAATGGAAAGAGAGATATCTTTCAGCATACCTACCTGATTTACCTGGAAGTTGTACAAACGATCCATGATCACAGGCAGTATTCACAGGATCCGTTTCCTTTTAGAAAAATGTGTATTTATTATCTTAGTTACTCAGGAAGCTAAGATCTAATGATCTTGGTTCAGAGCCAGCCTGGGAAAGAAAGTCTATGAGACATTTATCTCCAATTAACCTCCAAAAACCTGGAATTGGAGCCATGGCTCAAGTGGTAGAGTGCCAGCCTTGAGTTAAAAAGCTAAAGGTCAGTGCACAGGTCTTGAGTTCAAGCCCCAATACCAGTACACATTAAAAAAATGTATCTTCAATCAGGTAAAAACTCCAACAAGCTGTACCAAGTGATTATTCATAAGAACCAAGGAATCATTTATACTTTATTTCCAACAGCCTGAGTGTCTATGGAATGACAACAAATCTGCACAGGTGTATTAGTACTTTTTAAAATTTTTTTCTTTTATTGTAAAGATACTGTACAGAGGGGTTACAGTTACCTGAGTAAGGTAACTGTACTCATTAGTACATTTCTTGTGAAACATGGTTTACCTCTCCTTTGTTTTTCTCCTACTATCCCTTCCCTCCCCCAACTCCCCCACTCCTCCCCTCCACCCCCAAGTTGTAAAGTTCATTGTCCCAGGGCCTCAGGCATGCAAGGCAAGCGCTCTACCACTGAGCCACCTTCCCAGCCCACTCTGTTGTGGTTTTCTCTCCAGCTGCACTGTACATACTTTGTACACAATTATTTTTCTTTGCTAAGGGGGGGAGGGCATATAAGGACATTGCATCTGTCCTCCTTTTCACACAGTTTAATTCAAAGGGAATTTAAGAAGTTCAGGGGTTAGAAGAGTGATGGATTTTTTTCAGCTATAATCATAGATGTAGAGTGAACATATGTCAAACAAAAAAAAGAGACTTTGGCTTATGAATGATTCTTCCACTGATTTGCTCTCTCTCTCTCCTCTTTCACGTGTGCTTGCTCTCTCTCTCTCTCTCTCTCTCTCTCTCTTTCTCTCTCTCTCTCTCTGTCCTAGGGTTAGAAATAATGACCTAGTGCTTTCAGGTAGGTGCTCAGCCATTTATGCCACAAACTCAGCCCTTTTTGCTTAATTAATTTTCATATACAAGCTCACACTTTCTTCCTGAGCCAGCCCTGAACCACCATGTTTCCACTTCACCTCCAGTGAGCTAGAATCATGGACATGAACAATCTTGCCTGGCTTGTTCTTTAAGATAAAAATCTCTCTTTTTTCCAGACTAACTTCAAACCACCATTCTCTCTTTTCTGCCTCCAGGCATTTCTGATTACAGGCATGCTTTACAACACTCTTTTTTTTTTCTTTTTCATGACTAGCCAAATTGAGGGAAGTTCAATTTTTTAATTTACAAAAAAGTTTTTAAGTATTCTTTTCTTAATATTAGTATAGTATGTCCTCTTACCACCACTCCAGAAAGAATCATTGAGATGGAATTGAATATCTTTAAACGGGCAGACTATGAAGACTTAAAGAGAAAAATGTAAGTCAATAATTGTTTTGTGGTCTAGAAGTTTACTGTTAGATCTAAAACAATCAAACATTCCTTTCAAAATACTGGGCCAAGCAGGTGCATTAAGAAAGGACTGAAAGAGGAGAAGATGAAGAATATAGCTCCTAATGGCATGTGTTGTACTTACGGTTGGTGAAATGGGAATCTTGTCAGCGAAGTGTAAGCACTGTTCTCCCAAGTACTTTCCTCACTGCAGGACAACTTAGGCCCTTGGACATACTTTCTATTTCATAGTATCACTTCATTGCATTATTATGGAAAGGAAATTCGTTGTCTTCAACTCATTCTTTCCTATTTTTTTTCTGTGTTTTTACGTTTTACTTTTTCTACCACAATGGTTCATCCAAATTGTCTTCCATGAGTACATACTGTAAGAATTAAGGGATTAAGAACTCCTTTTAAACCTGTTTTTAACAGTCATTCTTAACTAACTAGCTAGGTAACTTCAAGAGCATAAGAAGCGGATGGTTGGAGAGTTATCAGCCAAATGCACTAGTGTTGTTCTTAATGGTGACAGGCTGAGTGCATTCTGCCCACATCACCCTCACCATTCTGTGAAAATGTCACAGACTAAAAGGTTACTAAAGAAACACAATATAAAGTTACAAATACTTTTTTTTCTAAAACTCAAGTATAATTTCATAGAATTAGTATCAAAAGGCTAACTTAACATAAATTATTGAAATGAAACTATTTCTAAAAGAAAAGTCTAAGTAGGTTATGTACCTGAAGTGGTGTATACTTTTATCTTTCTGGGGAAAGGGTACAAAAAGTGATCCTGCTAGCAGTTAGTTATGGGACATGATTTATTCTGAGGCCACTGACCAAAGAAGGACTAGAGTCAAAGCGTGAAAGTCAGACAGTGCCCTGCCGAGCTGACTATGGAGGGAAAGAAATTGTAGGACAAGCCAGGCAGCGGTGGCTCTCACCTGCCATCCCAGTTACTCAGAAGGTGAGATCTAGAGGATCACAGTTTAAATCCCGCCCAGACAGAGAAGCCTGCAAGTGTTCACCTGTAATTCACCAGCTTAAAGCCAGACTGGGAGAGTGGCTCAAGTGGTAGAGGGCCAATCATGAGGTAAGGGAGAGTGTGAATTGAAATCCGGGCACTACAAGACAGACATAAAATCTTTGTGTGGTGTCACTATTTCTTCATGACTATCTCCAACCTTCAGTTTCTGCGTGTGGTCCCACGGCGTCTGAATTTTGGAAGATTGGCAATCACATTTCAAGCCCATAGAGGGACTAAAAACTGACTAAACAAAGCACAGAGACACTAGCTGCATGCTCTGTGAAATTCAACAATAAAAAATGAAAAGGGTCCATAAACTCACTGAAAGTTAGAGTTGATGGTGGGATGCATGTTGTTGCTTTCTAAGTTGAAAAAAAAAGTAAAGGTACAATTTAACTTGCCTGAGATAATACATATAACTTGCCCCAAATGTTCTGAGTTCTGACTTAGAGTTCCTTTCTGGGTCTGCTTACCACTACTTGGCTGGATATTATTTTCATAGACAAGCTCAAAGCCATACTGCTAATACTGTGGGACTTCCACCCATCAAAACCTCCTAATGCAGCTCTGATATCACACTAAATAGATCGAGAAATCAGAACAAAAACAAAAACAAAAACCAGCTCATTTCTCTTCAAGCAAAATGGCAAAAGGGTATACTTAGGGTGAAAATAGTTCTTTGTTAATTAACCTGTTATATGAAATATTTAGATTCTCAAAGTTCCCGGAGAATGAAATATAGAGAAGCACTGCTCAGCCCTCAAGATAAACCATCAAAATATTTTAGTGAAAATCCTTTTGTCTTATTCAATGCAGTCTGCAGTACACAGGGTAATGTGCTCCTTACAACACTTCTGTTGTGACACAGTGGAAAAATGGCTTCTTTCTGAGAACATTTTCTGCCTTTGGAATGTTTGAAGAGTCTCAGGGTCAAAGGAAATCAACTATTGTTTACTGCCTGAGTTTATCCCCATTGTGGTTAAACATAATAAACTCTTCTTAGCATTTCTTTGCATAGAAAGCAAAGCTAAAACATTGTGCTAATCTTAGAGAGAACTTTGTTGATTATAGAACTGGTTAGTGTTGTTATATTAAAACATGTTCAACACAGTGGGTCCAAGTAATTTAACCTTGTCTCACGGTATTCCTTTCAATGAACTCTGAAGCTCCAGTTATTTCTTTTCTTTTCTTTTTTCTTTTTCTTTTTTTTTGGGGGGGGGTCCAGGTGTGGGGCCTGAACTCTGGGCCTGGGTGCTGTCCCTCAGCTCTTCAGCTCAAGGCTAGCACTCTACCACTTGAGCCACAGCTCCACTTCCGGCTTTTTTCTTTTTATTTATGTGGTGCTGAGGAATGGAACCCAGGGCCTCATGCATGCAAGGCAAGTGCTCTACCACTGAGCTACCTTCCCAGCCCCTCCAGTTATTTCTTACAGCATTTGTTTGATTTTTCTGCGTGTGCTGAGCCTGAACACTCTCTGTGAGATTTTTGCTCAAAGCTAGTGCTTTACCACTTGAGCCACAGCTCCACTTCCAGGTTTTGGTGGTTAATAGAAGGAAAAAGTCTCGTGAAATTTCCTGCATGGGCTAGCTTTGAACAGTGATCCTAGGATTAAAGGCATGAACCACTGGCTTCTGGCATTTTACAGCATTTAAAAGGAGACTGCCCATCCACCTTCGTTCCTTCGTTCCTTCATTCCTTCGTCCCTTCGTTCGTTCGTTCGTTCCTTCCTTCCTTCCTTCCTTCCTTCCTTCCTTCCTTCCTTTTGTCTTCCACCCTTCTTTCATTTTCTCTTCCTCCTTCTTTCCCTCTGATTGACTACTCTGTCCTGTTCCCCCTTTTCTGCTTTTGCTCTCTTCTCCTATTCCCAGAATCATTTCATATCATGCAGAGGAACAGCACAGAGAGAACTTTTCTGTGCTACTTTTTAGTAGTACAAAGCCAGTAGGAAAGGAAAGCAAGATAGTCAATTGCCTTGATTCCCCTCCCTTTGCCTGTCTGCCTTTATGTAGGCTCGCTCACTGATCCTCCTCCTTCAGCTCCTCAGAGGACTCTGGGTTTATGTTGACTGTGCAAATGACATAGGCAAGTGCATTAGGTTAGATTTTGTGATTTCACCCGCAGGCCAACAGGAAATACAGAAAACAGGTTGTGAAATCATGAGGAAATTCAACCAGGCTTTGTGAATCTTGTCCAAAAGTAACTTCCCAAAGTCATTTTAGAGGTTCATTGTTGCCATAACTATGTATCAAATATGAAAAAATAAAGAACGAAAGGGAAACAGTGACACTCTGGGAGAAAATTGTTATGGAACATAAGCAGTTTTTAAATGATTCCCTTCCATTTTAAACATCTTTACTTCTAATCTATCCTAAGCCCATTCTTTGTTTTCATTACTTTTCCTTCCTTTTGTTTTATTTTCTTTTTGCTGCTGCTTCCTCTTTTGTCCTTCTTATTTTTGTTGCTCTTCCTCATGCT